AGAGAGATGCCCTAAGTGTCTAGTTCTGTATTAGACAAAAATTTCTGTTAACATGCCCATATTTTTGTGCTGCTTAGTCAGTTATGTTCAGTTGTGTTCTCTGGTGATAACTTGTCTTGGAAATGTACATGAAACAGAGAATATTCAGCTTTCAGACAGAAGCTTCAATGTTTTCCCTTAGCAGAATACCTACCTGCCTGCCTTCTGCCAGGTGATAGACTTTTTCTTGCATGAGCATGAAACTTATTCAAAATACATGTGGATAAGTTGTAAATGTTGTAAAAATGTCATCCTTTCAGTGGTTCCAGCGAGACGGTCGTCAAATGGTGCAGTAGTTGAAGCAAAATCACATGTGGAAAATTGTGTTAAAGTTGCTCAGTCCTCATCAGATCCCAGTATTTCCCAGGTAAAGCAGGGTCATATGCCTTTCAAGTGTTTAAACGAAGGCATGATTTGGGAAGAAAGTGATATTTAAAACAAATCTGCGTGGAAGAAACTCTCTGTAAATAAGAGTGCAGAGTTCTCTGTAAATGCTGCTTTGTAAGGCCTGGGATGGGCTATGGATCTCTAATCCACTCTGGCCAGATCAGTTTAACATTGCAGGCTTCCTGTGCATTTTCACTCCACTTGTCAGAGATGATAACTAGGCATCTTTTGCTAATTGCTATGGACTCTCAAAATTGCAGAGTGTATTTTACTTTGGAAGGGAAGAAGTTTATCCTGAACTACACTTTGGTTACAGATCAATAGTCTGCTTTAAATTCCTATTACCAACACACTACCTGGTACATCTGGTTTTGCTTTGTTTGTGGTGTTGAACATTTTTTTTTTTTAATCTGTAGTTAAATGCAGACAAGGCACAGTGAAGGAATTTGAGTCTGAAATTCAAATTTTCTCAGTTCAGCACTCCCGTGGGAAGTGTTTTGCATGTTTTACCTGTGTGTGTTTGCTTAGAACTGTTACCTAAATGCAAAAAGTTGTGTGCAATCACAAACTGAGGTTACAGCTGTACAGGCTGGTTGTGTGTGCATATGCTGGTGATGCTTTTGCAACCAAGTGGTTAAAATCCCAGGGAATGCTGGGAACTTACTGAACTGGTGAAAATGTATTTTAGTAGTATTTTTAAATGTGTTTTAAATTGCTGAGCTAAAGGTGATGTCTTTTTGATACAATTGGCAAAGAACTGACAGAGATACATGATTTAATTGAAACACTTGGTGAAGCATTTGCAATGGTTTATGACTGAGGTGTCACGGTAGTCACATCAGCATTTCATGAAGTATGTTCATGATGCCCTGGGTATTAACTTGTGTTTAAAACCAAAGGTTATACCTTTTAAATATTATCAGTAGGAGTGTGTAAAAATATGCTTGTTAAAAGTGTTTCATCCACATAAGTACAGTATAAATTGCTAAATATTGCTAAATTACTTTCAGCTATTAGAATTTTTGTCATTTATTTCCTCTTCATGTAGAAAAAGAGAGAAACTGATTGCCTGTCTGATGATGAGTTGAGCTCTTCCACAAGTTCTACAGACAAGTCTGATGGTGATTCCAAGGAGAGGTAAGTATTTTAATACTGTGCAAGAGTTTTCACTGCTATATTAGACCTTGACTTGGACTGGAAAAAAAGTGGCTTTCATACTTTTGTCTCCACATAGTGAGTGATTGAAGAAGTATGTGGTGCATGAAGGAAAAGAATTCCATTTAATTATTGTCTTTCTGTGACTGTCTTTCTGTTCCATGCTGAACTTTCTGGATGTAATTTTGTGCCTGTTTTTTGTCAGTTGTAGCTTCCCAGAAATCCAGTCTTCCAGCATCAAGGGACAAGTACTGTCAGGATGCACTAAAAGCATTAATTAAAAGGTGCCAATGTGCTTCCTTTCCACTGTGAATTTATTTCTGATTTTGTCAGTGTAAGCAGCTTTCCAAAAGCTGCAATTTGTTGCATTACTGGAGGTGCAGCTACAGAGTTGGCAGCAGCCAGTAGGGTTGTGGATTTTTACAGGCTGACAGGGCTCTGAGCCTTTGTTAGAAGGAATACTGCTGGTGTTGCTATTGATAAAACTGCCCCACAAGAAGTAATTTAACATGGAATACTTACTAGGACCTTATTAAACTTACTGGAAGTACTTGGACTGTAGGGTGGAAGATGCATCTAAAGTGATGACTGACTTACATCTCCTAGGAAAAGCAATGTAAATGAAATGAATGACTTGGTGCAGCTGATGACTTGGACGCTGAAAATGGACTCTAAGGAGAACTCTGAGTACTGTGGAACCTCAACTCCAGCCCCGGAGTTTAAACTCCATAAAAAATATCGAGACACTTTGATTTTGCATGGAAAATTGCCTGATGAATCAGAGGAATTAAACATTGAAGAGATTCCTTCAGGTCTGTTGCTCTGGAATTCCGTGGTAATAATTACTATTATCCCATATTCTTCTGCAGAGTATGAAAATTGTCTATACTGAAAGTAGTTATTACTGCATTGATTTTTTAAATTGTATTTTATTTTTAATAGATATGTTAACAGTTCCTGACAAGATTAGGAGAATGGTTGAAATCCTGAGGTCTGATGTGGTGCAAGGATTGGGAGTGAAACTTCTTGAGGAGGTGTACAGAATCATGGAAGACGACGATGAAGCGAAAAGAGAGGTGAATGTCTTTCATAGTAAAATAGTTTAATTTCTTCATAAACCTAGAGAAATGAGCAGTGTCTTTACCCTATTGACACAGGGTAAACCTTGATTTATGTAGTCTTTATGTAGTCATGGGCAGGCATTGTAATTTTCTATCTTACCCATGCAGTATTTCATTTGTAACCTGTGAAGATGTGATTTATATTTTAAATTGTTGGGTGGGATTTGGAACTCTCTTGCCTTCAGACAACAAAGACTTTCATCTTCCTTTCCTCTCATCTACTTGCCAAGCTTCACGTGCTGCTTTCAGTTGAGTGCCTTGGTACTTTTTTTTTTGGTTAATATTTGATAGTTAATATTTAATATTTTGGTAGTTCCTGCTTTCTGTGCATGTCAGTAAGTTTTGTGGGCTTTGTTTTGTGTGTGTTCTGAACAGCTGCAGCTGCGGGAGCACATGGGAGACAAGTACGTGAGTTACAGTGTGAAGGCTCGTCACCTGAAATTCCTTGAAGAAAATGTGAAGCTCTGACCAGAATCTTTTCCTTAGAGAAAAGGACTCTTTTATAGCCCATATGACAGACTGGACCAGCTTACAAAGCACGTTTACCTGTTGATCTCCTTTGCTGGAACAAGGAGGTGAACTTGTAGAAAACGTTAGAGTTTGTAGTAATATTTTTCATGTTGAACTGTGAACCAGGCTATCACTTTCTCAGAAAAGAAACTGTTAGTTTAGTTTTTATTCTCTTAATGAAAGTTTAAAAAGTTGCTTTTCATAGATGCACATAGGGATGGGTACCAAGTTTTGTATACTAAGGAGAGTCAAAAAAAATTATGTTTTGGTTTTGAATTTCTCATAGCAAAAGGTTTTTGGTATGGTCACATAAATAGAGTAACAAAATCTCTGCCAAGGCTCTGGTGTGATACTGCATCAGACAGTTGTGAAAACTTAGCAAGAGAAATAATTACTAATTTTTGTAGAACCAAAATGCTGGAAATTGCCAAGCCCAAGTGCTGAAGAGGGGGGTGGCTGTACTGCTTTTAAGGAGAGACTTTGCTTTTGTGTTTTGTTGCTGAAGCAGTCGCCAAGGTGGGGGAAAGCATTTGGTAACTGGATAAAGTAAGTCTGGAAATGTTTGAAAGGAATGCAGCCATGGTTACCATGGTCCCAGCTGGAGAAATCCCTTTGCCTTACAAATAGTAATTCCTTTTAGGAATGAAAGTGCCCAAGACCAGAATCACATGCAGAAATAGATGTCTTAGCTTTTCCCTTTCTTTGCATCCCGACTGTCTTGCTTACACACCCTCAGGCATTGTTGTGTACCATCCCTACAGAAAAAGCACATGTTCTTTTTAAAGGATAAAGAAGTCAAGTAAATTGAATTTGTAAAATAAAATTCTAAATGAACAACCTGTCTCTCTTCCTGCCTGTAGCTGAAATATTGTGACCTCCAGCACCTGTGAGAGGGGTTACCGACATGAGCCAGTAGTAAAAGAAAATTGCCATACCTATGGATCCTGTGGCCTCTCATGTACTAGATGCTCAAGTTACAATGTTTCAAGACCTATTGTATTTTGCAGAGTCAAAATGTTACTTTCTCTTCCCAGGGAAATTTATTTTAAACAAAAAAATGCCACTCTTCAGTCTCCTATCCCAGAACAGTTTGCAGTTCTTAGTGATTTTCAGAGCTGTGGGGTACATACTGTTTCACAGTACTTGTTACAAGCTTGTTTTACACATGGTTAGAAATATTTCAGTATAAGTCCAGGTCTGTATTATCTTTTATGCTATAACAGTAGCTTAACTGGACTTGATTTGATTCACTGTGTTCCTTTTTACTAAAATACCTGAGTGAGATGTGACCTCCAGTAGCCTTCTAAAGTTATTTAAGTTTCTGCTGCTAAGAAGATATTGCAAAAGCCAGTACAACTTGTGCTGGAAACCGAAATATTAACTAGAAAAAATGTAAGTTACATAAATTACTGTACAGTGTTTAGACACACAGAATCATAATCATGATGTATTCTGCCAAAGAAGGGGTACCAGCTAATGTGGAGGGGAGGGGAAGATCCAGTAACTGAACGCTACAGGGAGGACATGGAACAAATTTGTCTAAACTATCAGAGAGGCCAGTCTGATACATTAACTACCTGTGTGAGCAATCTTTTACAGGGGGCTGAGAGATGAATACAGCACAGAGGAATTTCATCAGGTATTTGCTTTACCCTTTGCCCATCCCTGTGTTCCCAGTGACTTCACTGAAGCTCCAGACCAGCTTCAGAGCCTTCACGCTCTCTGCGGGGCTTGGTGGATGGCAGGATACAAAGCACGAATTAAAAAACCAAACAACTAAGCCAAGAAGTATCTCCCAGTGGAAATTCATTTAACAAAATTTAACAAAGTAACAGTGTGAAGAACGGCAATTTTTAGCTTTTAGCGTGTCTCTTTGGCTTTCTGTCTGCTGCCTTCTTGTCTTCCGTGCCCGACTCCTGCACAGGCAGCCACTTGAGGGGGTTGCGGCGGTACATGGGCCATGGAGGGAGAGTCAGCTGGGAGACAAGGGATGGAGTCAGAACATGTACACTGAGATGCTAAAGAGCTGTTTTGTACAGCTTGTTAGGAAAATCTTAATCCTTAACTGTTCTATCTAAGAAAACTCACACAATTTCACGCTATAAAGGCACATGTATTTACAGTTTATACTGCGTGGTCGTGACCCCAGGTCATTGCAAGGAGGAGGACAGCACCCACCCTGAAGAAAAAGGGACTCCCGAGGTGACACCAGCATCCCAGCACATCCTAACACTGCTATGAGACCCTCCCCTTTCCTGGCATCATGGATCAGTAACTCTGGCCAGAGCAACTCAGGGATGCTAAAGTAAGTAAGGAGCAGATGGATGATGATGCCAGAGAATTATAGTGGCTTTTCAAAGCAGTTGTGTGTGTGAGTTAAGTAGTGATTGGTCAAATCCTGTTGTATCTGAACTCTTGAAAAGCATAAGAACCACGTGTAAGACTGGATTCGGTGTGCCCCAATTGGAATGGGACACCTTGTGTGTATGAATAAGGAATTACTCCTCTAATTCCATACTCTGCCTTCTTGCCGCTCTCCTCGGGCAGCATGGGCCAGCTGCAAAATTCTTGTGACAAGCTCCTACTGCACAGGAAGCCTCTCTGTCCTTTCTATTACCAGTGCTGTCAGCTGGACTTAACAGTAACATTTAACTGAAGTGAAAAATGTACTCAAACCCAATACTTAATTGCAGTGTTCTCTAAAATCCTGCTAGCGTTTCAGAAAAGGCATTTACTGGCCTGCAAAGCACTTTGTGCAGATTAGAGGAGGTACAAATATGTATTAACAATCTGAATTACATAGCAAACAGTAGTCTGTGCTGACAGCCTCTTAATTTAACTATTATTCCAGGTTAAATAGTGCATATATCTTCTAGTTTGCAGACAAAAATTCTTACCAAACATGATAAAGCAAATCCAGCCATAACTATGTAGACAGTCCATCCAAACTGTTCAGTGACGTATCCATAGATAAAACCAATTACCTGGGAAAAAAGTATATTAAAAAAATCGAACTCTAAATGAAGAAAAACATTTCTCATGCCATGACTAAATTGTGGGGGGAAGTAGGACAATATAGGTTTTTCAAAAGCACAGTTCCTCCACCTTTCTAACGTTCTTTTCAAAATTGCTGGCCAATAATGAAAGTAAAACATGGGGAGATGTAAAGCTTTAGACAAAAATCAGAGGGGCTGTCATGCATTAAAGCTTTTAGTGACCCCAAACAATCAGGAAAAAAATGTTTGTAAAATCAGAAAACAAAATACTCCTTTTATGTTCTCACCCACAGTTCTAGTATACTTACTGCAGAGACAAGAATGATTCCTTGAAAAATCTGTTCTGCTAATTTTTGGCCCTTGTAGTCCTGTGAAAAGAGACACTTTTTGGTCAGTTATTCAAAACACAAACCTGCCCGTTAAACTCCTTCAGGTTAGAGCCCACACTCAGCCTGACCACGGGTTCTCAGCTCTTTTGTTCAATTTTCAAACCAGACTGGAATTACTTTTCTTACAGTATCTGGGAACACCTACCCTTCAGGCTCGACCACACCACCTGGAAACAGGAGCAAGTGCTGCCTGTTCAAGGTAAGTAATGCCAGTTCAAAATATCACTGTAGTCAGCTTAACATCACTAAGAAAAAGCTGTAACACCACGGCAGAGTGTGTGCCTGGGGGGATACAGTGTGTGTGGCACTTAGAGGGGATCTCATTAATGCATGTAAATGTCTCCAAGGCGAGTGCCAAGAGGATGGTGCCAGACTCCTTTCAGTGGTGCCCAGAGACAGGATGAGGAGCAACAGTCATAAAATAAAACACAAGTTCCACCTCAACACGAGGAAGTACCAGTGAGGGTGGCAGAGCCCTGGAACCGGCTGCATAAGGGAGGGTGTGGAGTGTCCCTCTCTGGAGACATTCCAAACCCACCTGGCCTTGTTCCTGTATCACCTGCTCCAGGTGCCTCTGCCTGGGCAGGGGGGTTGGACTGGGTGATCTACAGAGTTTGCATGACTTTAGAAAACCTGGCTCTCAGCGAGCACGCGTTGCCTTCTGTCTATAGCCCAGGCGGGAAAGCACGGAGGGATGTCCCCTGCACAGCTCTGCATTAGAGCACGTTAAATTTCCGCTGCCCAGCTCATAAACCGGAATTATACGGATTCGCCCTGCAGCTCCTACGTGCCTCGCACCCAGGTACCAACCCCGCGGGGGATGCAGGGGACACCCAACCCCACAGGGGACATCCCTCCCCGCGGTCCCCCGGTGCCGCGGCCCGGCGGGCCCTACCCACCATCTGCGTGGGGATGGAGCGGAACACGCTCAGCATGGCGGCGGCGCCTCTGCGGCCTCCTCCCGCTGCTGCTCGTCAGGGTGCTGCTGCCCGCGATGCCCGGCGAGGCGGGGACCGGGGGCTCGGCGGCGGCGGGGCCGGGCGCGGCGGCAGCGGAAGGCGGCTGCTGAGCTGGCCGGAAACACGCCCCGGCCGCCCCGCCCCGAGCCCCGCCGGCCCCGGTGCCGCCTCCCGCCTCGGCCATCGCCGCCGCCGCCCCCGCCGCGGGGCTGCTCCGCGCCCGCTCCCCGTCCCAGTCCCGTCCCCGCCCTTGCCCGGGCGCGTCTCCTCGGCACCGGCGGCTCGGCCCCGCAGGCCCGCGGCGGAGGTGCCTTCCCCGGCAGGTGCGGCAGCGCGGGGGGCTCGGCCGGCGGCGGCCGGGCGGGCACAGCCGCGGCTCTGGGGGTGCCGCGGTGGCGGCGCGGGCGGGCGGCCCGTGAGGGGGCGGGGGAGCCGCGGCTGTGCCCGCCCAGGGGCCCGGGGAGCGGGTGCGGGCAGCGCGGGCCCCGCGCGGTGTGTGTTCCACTGCGGGCTGTGCGGGCTCTGACCGTGCCCTGCGGGGAGTCGCTCTGTCGGTGCCTCCAGCCCCGGCTGCCGCGTGTCAGATTCACAGAATCAAACGGGGTTTCCTCTGAGATCGTCGAGTCCAACCTTTGACCTGACACCGCCTCGTCTACTAAACCACGGCACTGAGTGCCATGTCCAGTCTCTTCTTAAACACCTCCAGGGACGGTGACTGTACGACCTCCCTGGGCAGCTGATTCCAATGTCTGAGCTCTCTCTCTGTGAAGAACTTCTTCCTAGTGTCCAACCTAAACCTCCCCTGGTGCAGCTTAAGACTGTGCCTTCTTGTCCTATCGCTGGTTACCTGGAGAAGAGCCTGACCCTCACCTGGCTACACCCTCCTGTCAGGGAGTTGTAGAGAGTGATGAGGTCTCCCCTGAGCCCCCTCCTCTCCAGGCTGAACACCCCCGGTTCCCTCAGCCGCCGCTCAAAGGCACGGGCTGTCTGTGCGCTGGGAATCGCAAAGTGCTTCGTTCCCCAGCGAGACGTGGCGTGGTGCTCTGTAAGCAAAGCCCTGTGTCCCGCCCCGTGCCAGCGGTGCGGGGGTGCTGGAGGACAGGGCTCCCGGCTGGGGTTCGTTTTACTCTGCAAATGCATCTACTCTGGGGGAGAAATGCAGCAGCGAGAGAAGGTGGTTGGGTCTGACACATGGAACGGTCACAAGTGCAGCCTGGGGTGTTTTAATAGGGAGATTTCACAAGTCTGTCACCGTTTCTGGAATTTTGCATGTTGTTGCAGTGCTTTCTATGTGTTATTTGAGAGCTCTTTCACACTCCGGGATACGCAGCTCTTGTTCTGATTTCATAGTCTCCTTTACCCTTGAATAATGAACAAGTTTGAATTTCTTACCAAAATTGTATCGGTGTTGTGTTTTTACCCCCTTCTATAACATGGTGGTAATACCTTCTTGCCTGCTTTTGTGGGGGTTTTTTTGTGTGTGACAACGCTCTAGCTGATATTCTGTTATATTCTATGCAGAGACTCTCATGGTTTGGAAAGTGCTGTTTGTTAAAATCTTATAAACCAGTGTCCTGCCAGAATCTTGCAGTTGGTTAAGCATGGAAGGAAACGTATAATGATTTATCTTATTGTTTAGATCCTTCCAGTTCAGATAGTTAAATAAATTGTTTCAACAGTAAAGAAACCCCACTAATTTTCCAGATCTTTTCAGATCGTTCTGACTGGTGGAAGGAGTTTGGTGGGTTTTTTTCTGTCAGTGAAGGAAGTGGCAATATCTGTATGTCTCCTTTTTACCTCCAAGTTCTTCTTTAGATAAGTCATTGTATGTGGGGGGAGTCCCCAACATAAGAAGGATTTGGACCTGTTGGAGCAGATCCGGAGTAGGGCCATAAAGATGCTCTGAGGGCTGGGAGAGTGGGGGTTGTTCACCTGGAGAAGAGAAGGCTCTGGGGAGACCTGAGACCCCCTTCCAGTGCCTAAAGGGGCTCCAGGAGAGCTGGAGAGGGACTTTGGACAGGGGTGTGGAGTGACGGGATGAAGGAGAATGGCTTTAAACTGACAGAGGGCAGGGTTAGACGGGATATTGGGAAGGAATTCTTGGCTGTGTGGGTGGTGAGGCCCTGGCACAGGTTGCCCAGAGAAGCTGTGGCTGTCCCATCCCTGGAAGTGTTCCAGGTTCAGGTTAGGCAGGGCTTGGAGGAATGTGGTCTAGTGGAAGGTGTCCTTGCCCATGGCAGGGGGTTGGAATGAGATGAGCTTTAATGTCCCTTTCAACGCAAGCCATTCTAGGATTGTAGCTATGTATGTACTGAGGTACCACACTCAGTTATTAAAATGTGGCATAGCTTTATCTTTTTTTAGAGAAGGACACGATCACTGCATTCAGAAACTGTTTTGACACTCCTGGTGATGGTGCCTATGTCTTGTGTAGGCATACACTGGAAGTAGGAAGTGACTGCTGTATTTTTTTCTTGCAGGTTTTCAGGAACCTTATGCTCATAAATAAAACAATAGAAAAATGACATTAAGGAAAGGTATGTGTATATGTGTGTGTATCTAATTTTTATTAAAGTATCTGAATTTCTTTTTCTCTGCTTATGCTGATGAACTTTTTTCTTTGAAATTTTCAGTGAACATTTCCATCCTTATTGTGGCTGTTGTAATATTTTTGCTAGTTCTTCATCATAACTTCCTAAGCCTCAGTGACTTCTTGAAACGGGAGTTATCAGGTATGTTGGGTTTTATTTTAATTTTGAAAAAAATGTTATTCTTTTTAAGATTGGTGGGAAAGCACATGATCTGACCAGAGAGTGGTTTGGGTAAGTGGGAGGGGACCCACTGTAGCTCAGCCTTATTTTAGTTCCTTGTGCTGTGTGTGAATATGTGTGGCTAAATGTGTGTAGTTTTTTGTAGTTGTGATGTTCTTCTATTCATTCACATCTCAGATTCTCAAAAGCAGGTGCTCTGTTTTCAGTGTTTGATGCTGGCAGGCTGTGGTCGTGTTGAGACATCCGAGTGCTTGCATAGCAGAAATAATTGAAGGTGTTGGGAATTCTAGTGCGGTTATAATAATGTGTAATAATAAAAACAAGTATGTGATGCCATTTGTACTCCACAGATTCAAGTCCCTTAGGACTTCAGCCTATAGATTTCATTCCTGCAGCTCCCCAGAGGCTGATAGATGAGAGGAATGATAAGGAGATTTCTGTGGTCATTGCAGCGTCAGATGAGAGGCTTGGGGGTGCAATTGCAGCCATGAACAGCATTTACCATCACACCAGATCCAACGTGGTTTTCCATATTGTTACTCTGAATGATACAGTGGATCACTTGAGGTAATGATCTTTTCATTGGATTCCCACAACACTGTAAACTTCAGTATCTCTGAGAAGAGAGCTGCCTTTCCCCGGAGCTGCTCTCCTCTGACTTGCAGTCCTGCCTGCTGCTGCTTATTGCAGCTTTTTGCCAAGGCTGCTGTGGGGAGTCCTACAGCTGTTCTTTCTGGAGAAGTTTCAGGGATGGAAAAGAGCCATCTTTTCCAACAGGGTTATATCCAACCAGTGGGGTTGTGTTCGTTGGTGGAAGGGTTGTTGATGTTACTTATACATTTCATCAAGCAATTCAAATACTGTCAGTCAGGTTTCTCCATTTTCATAGATTATTCTTCGATCCTCTTATTTTTACCCACCTCTGTCCACGCTGATGTTTTTTTGTGAAGGACCTGTGATAACAGGACTGTGTATTTCTAATAAAACAAGAGGCAAGCTCATACCTTTCACGTGTCCCAGGTGAGCAGTGTGCTGGCACTGGGCATGTCCCTGCAGCCACACAGGACACCACTGGCCTCAGCCATAGATGACATCCCAGATATGTGTTTGTGGGTAGGGAAGTGAGGGGGGCACATCAAGATCTGGGTCGCTGTCAGTCAGATCTCTTGCTTTTCATTTGATTTTTGTCTCATTAACAAGATCTGTGCCTTTCCCCTGTTTGCAGGCTGTGGCTAAGTGGCACTGCTCTGAAAAACATGAGATACCGAATTTTGGATTTTGACCCTCGTGTCTTAGAAGGGAAAGTACAAGTGGATCCCCAAAAAGCAGACACCTTCAAACCAGTGAGGATGCTGTTGATTACTTTTTGCAATTATTAGTTAATAGCAATATATTTTGATGTTGGCTTTTAACACAACTAGATATCAAAACCACATCTGTTAGCACAGGAGTCTTTTATAATAAAATTCCTAAATCTCAGTAAAAATAAATTTCCAGCTAGTGAGAGATGCATTTGAATGTCTACATATACATGCTTAGTATCATTTTTTGCTGCTAGCTACAGTGAAACACAGCATGCCAACACCTTGGAGATACTACAGATACATGTGGAAATAAGAAATTCTAATACAGACAAATTTTAAAGTTAGTTTATCAATACATAAATTCATAGGAAACCAGGAATTGATGGAACTTGTTTATTTTAAATGACTTGTAGGATATTGCTGCCTATTTTATTTCCTTTATAGAAGTTGTCTTGGACATTAGTGCCATAGATAAGTGCAGGAGAATCAATCCATTTCACATTTATTTGGACAAATTTTCATTTAATTCTTCACTTCTCTTGCTTTCTTGTTCTCACAGTTAACCTTTGCAAGATTCTACTTGCCCAACTTGGTACCTCATGCAGAGAAGGTCATCTATGTGGATGATGATGTAATAGTGCAAGGTATGGCACCTTTGTTAGCTGCCACTGGCCTTATGCTGAGGGCAGTATCCCATCTCTCAGAGCCCAAAACACTTCGAGGAAAGATGTCCAAACTTTGTAAATATGAATGAGTTGGGTTAAACTGAATGGTTTCATCTGCTGTAGCAGTGGCCTGAACAAAGCGTAACTTGGCACTTAGTCAGGATTGCTTTTGATTTCTCTCTGCCTACTTCCATTTTCCAGATGATATTCTTGAACTTTACAACACTCCATTGAAACCTGGACATGCAGCTGCATTTTCAGATGATTGTGACTCAACCACTAGCAAAGTTGCTGTCCGTGGAGCAGGCAATCAGGTTAGTTTTATTCTGATCCAGTGGGAACAATACCACAGATCCCAGGCATTTGGGAATGTTCTAAATGCTGTGAACCTAAAGGTGTGACTGTCCCTACCCAAACCAATTTATACTGATGTTTGTGTTACAAGTAGCACCTACAGTTTCTGCTTAGGCACAGTAAATGCACTTTGAATTTTTGCTGTGCTTTACAATGAGGGCAATTTCTAGCATGGAACAGCAAGAGGTGTTACAACATCAGAGGGAGAATTTTTCATTTGTGAATGTTTAAAAAGTGCTTTTTCTGAGACTGGTACATACCATATTAATAATATGGTAGTATTAAGACCATGCAGCATTCCTTAAAATATGTAGTGTATATAATCATATTTCCAAAATATGATTATATACACTACTATATATATACTATATATAAGAGCTTAAAAAAGCTCTTAAGATTTCTTTTTCTTATTTTAAAGGAAGGGATATTTGCTTTAATAACTTTAATTTATGCCTGTCTGTTGCGAGTTGTGCAGAATTTTTCTTTAAACAGAAATTCCACCATATTTTAAGCTAATTTCTACTCTCTTCCCCCCCCCCAGTATAATTACATTGGCTTTCTAGATTACAAAAAAGAAACCATCCGAAAGCTCGCCATGAAAGCCAACACTTGCTCTTTCAATCCGGGAGTTTTCGTTGCCAATTTGACGGAATGGAAACTACAGAACATCACTAAGCAACTGGAGAAGTGGATGGCACTTAATGTCCTGTAAGTACCCCAAGCTGGGGTGACAGGGCTGGGGTTGTGCTGGTGGCATTTGTTGGATGAAGGGCTGTGTGTGTATCTCTGGGTTCCTGTCACGCTGCTGCAACTGAAAAGTCAACTGATTTAGGGCCACACCAGCATCCTTTCCCAACTTCTTTTCATCTTCTCTTCCAGAGAGGAGCTTTACAGTAAGACTCTGGCTGGCAGCATCACAACACCTCCACTGCTAATTGTATTTTACAAGCAACATTCCAGTATTGATCCCATGTGGAACGTCCGACATCTCGGTATGTACAAAACATCTTTGACACCATTTCCCCAGTGTGGTTTTCCAGGCCTGTAGCTGGACACCTGGTTGATGAGGCAGCAAATGGATCTCTTATTCCCCTATTCTGTCCCTTGTTCTTTAAGAAACACAGCTTTGCAATGTCTTCTTGGGCCTTGTGGGCCTGAGCCTTCATGGTCTTCTTTGAACTACTGAGAGGTAGTTCTTACTTACTCACAAAATACTTCTAATTTTCCACAAATATGTTGTATCTGAAGTGATTTGAGGTGTTTCTTCCAGGACTGTTGAGAAGAACAGACATTCATATCTGTTCTGCTACTCATGAAACCCCAGTGCTGGGAAAGCTTTTTTAGGTTTGGTTTCTGATGAACAGTAAATAGGCTACTGAACACATCCGGGTGTTAAGGGGGTTTTAATGAACTTGGAGTTAAGGCAGTGCATTAAAATAAATACTAAGAGAGCTTAAAGTGGCATTCAGTTGCACCTGATTTGTTTTTCACTTTACCCTTGCATCTGCCTCCCATATCCCCTCCTTTTTCCATAAATGATAAGATTTCCTTTGTTAAATCCTTTGTTTTGAAGTTAACATTTTGCATGTTGGTGTTCCTGCTGCCTTTATTTCAGGCACTAACGCTGCTTTTTCAATAAAAGGGTCTAGTGCTGGAAAAAGGTACTCTCCTCAGTTTGTGAAAGCTGCCAAGCTGCTCCATTGGAATGGACATTTCAAACCTTGGGGAAGAACAGCTTCCTATGCTGAAGTCTGGGAGAAGTGGTATGTCCCTGACCCTACAGGCAAGTTCAACCTGATCCGCAGACACTCGGAAGCCTATGAAGCAAAGTAGGGCCAATGTTGGTAACTGATGGTGCTTTCTCAGGAAACTTTTTTGGAGCCAAGCAGAACATTTCTTTTTTTAGCCAACATGTATTACAGAGCCATCCTTGCCTTCTGGAGCACGAGGTGATGCACTTGTTCAGGTGCAGTTCTGAAATGCACAGGTCCAAAGGAGGCTCATGTCACCTGCATGACAGAAGGTGCTGCTCCAGCAGCACTACAGAAAGCAAGGGAGGATCTCCACAAACAGGCACTTTTGTTTAGATCATTTCAGTTGTGTTCTTCTGTTTACTATGAGTCTTGTAGCAGAGGATCATTTTATCAGTTACAGAAACGTTTCTAAGAACAAGATACAAATTCATTCGGTGCTTGCACCACGCAAATCTTGCACATCAGTGTACTGTAATTAAGAGTTGCTTGGGTTCTGGGTTTGTTTTTTGTTGTTTTGTTTTGTTATTCTGTGAAATAGTTCCCTCAACAACCCTTTCATGCATGAAATCTCCCAACCATTTCTGTGTAAGTCTTTCTTGCAGAATTCTACAAAATTGAATCTTTTGTGAAAGATGAATTCTTCAAGTTTTATTTCACTATGCAAAGTGGTTTTAACTGCCAGTGAACACTAAAACATGTTTTGTAAAGTGGTGGATGAAACCTTGTTCAAAAATAAAGCTAATTGTAACATGTTGACTCAAGCCTCGGGTAAATGGCTGCCCATCATCAGTGCTACAGGTAAGTTGTTTTGGATTGTTTTTTTATAGCTGTGCTGTGAAGTTTGAGTAGTAGTTATTATTATTTGATCTATCACAGCAGTTATTGTGCCAACTGTTCCCTTTAAGAGAGGTTAGAACTGAAGTCACACTGCTTGTGAACAGTTCTCTGTGGAAGATGTTTAGACAAAAGGCTTTGTGTTCATGCAATGACAGCTGAATGCTGCATGGTCTCAGATACAGGACAAGGGCTCCTTCATGACTACGAGTATGGTTTTAATTCTGCTTTGTCATTTAAAAGGATTTCAAACTGCTTGTCTCATTGCAGTCACTGCCTATAGTTCTGTCGTGGATGTCGATCTGGTTTGTTACCTTTTGTTTCTTTTGCTGGGTTTTGATGAAAAATTCTTGTCCTTGAAGCAGTAATAAGTTCACTTACCAAACTTTGAAAGACTGTACTGGATCAGCTGGCACCAACTTAATTCAGATGAGCAGGCTGTGTCTGAGCAGGCTGTGTTTGAGCAGGCTTAAAGAAACTCCATCTGTTTGTGTCTACACTTGACACCTTTTTGAGCTGCCTTATGAGGACTATGCCTCAGGATACCTTTAACATATAGGTTTGTTTTCCCTAAAGAACACAGAAATCAGACCTAATAGGAAGAAAACAGATTCATAGGATGAAGATGCTCAATATGAAGCATTTATTCTAAATGTTTAATTCTTGGAGCAGCTGTAGGGCCTCTTGGTAATTCTCATGCTATCCCAGTTCTGCTACAGGCTGAGCACAGTAACACACCCTGACTGCACAGGGCAGTGTTCTGCTTTATATTTATAAGTTCTTGGCCAGACATGACAGGTGTCACCAGGAAATAACTCTTTTGTTCAAGAGCACTGTAAGAACAAGCACCTTGTTCCCCAGTGAAGGAGGGTTACTAATGTAATCTGTTACTTTTCCCTGTGAAGGTCCAGAACAGATTAAAATACCTTATGTCTAGCTCAAATAAGGACCATTTTTTAGCCACTTTTCACTTATTACAGTTTTACAAGTTTTGCAAAAATACACTGAAAAGTTACTGTCTGAAGTCAGGCTCTAGGGATACAGTTCTTGTAATCCTTTAGGAAAAGCAATTAAATTTGATGCAGGAATGAAAACTTATCTTGAAATTGAATTGCTTGAACATGACTAGAATTAAAGATTTACCACTGTTTTGCAGTGAAAAGGACAAACCATTTATCCTTTTGAAACATCTTTTTATAAGACAAAGTGAACAGACTGACTCGGTATATTAGGAATTTTTTAAAATAGGATTTATTACAGGAAATAAACTTTACGACTTAAAGCTGAATAACAGGCAGTTTCCCAGACTGTATAAAATCTGGAACCATCAAGGGATATGCACTACTATATACAATATTTGATACAGCAATAATTGGGAGTCTCTGCAGCAGCTCTGGTGTGCAGCATTCCTCCACTTCTGCTGCAACTCAAGTCTTCAGGGCTGTTCTGAAGGCCAGTAGTAAGAGTGTCCAAACAGTGCCATCACACCTGATTGCTACACATAGTCTGTATTAAAATCATAGGCATCATCTTCCTCTGCTGGCTTATCTAAGCTGAAGGACAGGGAAGTGGAATGTTCACCTTCTGAGAAGAGAAAATCATGTGTTAGTGAAACCAGTGCAAGTGCTGGAGTACTAGAGACCATCCTTGAAGCCAGAGTGCTTGATACAGACCTGCCATCTGCTGCTCTGAATTTGTAGGGTTTGCTTGTTGTTTTCCAAGCTTTGCTTTCCTGGTGACCTGAACTTTGCTTTCCTGTAAGTCAGAGACATCAGAGGTGTGTTATTCAAACATCGCTAATGAGATCTCCCATGCAAATGAAACCCAGCAGACCCTGAGGATGATGTGGATGTCCCCTTGTACAGTTGGTTAGAAACACACTGCTCAGGCAACTGACTTGGAACAATGTTGTGTCCTTAACTGAGGAAAACAGCCCAACCCTTACCTGGAGGAGAAAGGCTTTTTGATTACAACCAGTGTCTCCAGTGCCTCACTTCACAAGACACTGACTGGGTTCTTGGTGTCAGGATCTAAACAGGTAGAAACCTTAATTTACCTCTTCGACATCATTTTCTTCTTCGTCTTCTTCCACATCATCATCGCTTTCTGTAAATTCCTCCTCTTCTTCCTCTTCCTCCTCTTCTTCTTCTTCTTCCTCCTCCTCCTCCTCCTTGGTTCTTTCCATGTTTTTCCACTTTGATCCTTCCTCTATCACTTTACTTTCCTCTATTATCCCATTTGCCATACCAGCTGACTGGAAAATAATGCTGCTTGCTGGAGTGGGATATTTTAAAGCTGACAAAGACATAGTTAAGTGTCTGTTAAGTCCCAGTCAGACAGCACCAGGTGTAATGCCAACCCTGAGAGGACACATTTTAGTCTTGCCCCCTCCCTGCCATAGCACTCCCACATAGGCAGGCAGAACAAAGGACAGTTCTGAGACTGCTAGGAGCTGAAAATCTTGGATTTGAGTATAGGTAAGTTTACCTAAGTAAGTTTAGATTAGATATTAGGAAAAATATCTTCCCTGTGAGGGTGGTGATGCACTGGCACAGGTTGCCCAGAAAAGCTGTGGCTTCCCCATCCCTAGAAGTGTTCAAGGCCAGGCTGGATGGGGCTCTGAGCAGCCTGATCTAGTGGGAGGTACCCCTGCCCATGGCAGGGAGGTTGGAGTGAGATGATCTTTAAAGTCCCTTCCAACCCAAACCATTCTATGATTAATGGTAGTGTAGCACAGTAACAGTCCTACCTTGAACAGTGTTGCTGTTTTCTTCTTCTAAGTTCTTTAAATTAAAGCCCTCCTGCATTTCAGCTATTTTTTGTTCTGTAAGATATGGTGGTGGTGTCTGAGATCCTGGAGGTTCTGAGTGGTAGCTTATTTTGCCTCTGGGAAATAAAAATCAGCATTAAAAACTAACTAAAGATAACATAGTTAAATCACTGTATTTAAAAATAAAACCCAGAGCACAAAGCTCTGAAACTTCTCAACCTAAATACTCATGTACTATTAGCTGTTTATAGCAGTTTAATAGCAATTTAAATTTGACTCTGAAGTTGTCAATAGTATTAAGTGGATTGCCCACTCCTGAAAGGGAAAAGAAGTGGCATACATTGTCACCACAAATCACCTGCCTGTATAATCATAAGCTGTAAAAGCTGCTGAACAACTTGACCAAGAGAAAAAAATCACAGTCAATTACTGATTCTGAGTTACATTTGTTCCCACCCTCAGAATATAGGAATCACCATAGATTTCCACAGAAGATTTGCCACATCCTTTCCTGTGTAGAACTACATGGACTTGGTAGTTGAGAGGAAGGTGAATTTCCCTAAGAGAGTTACAGCATAAGTCAGCAAACTGGCTATGGAGTAATGTGCAACAGGCTTTGACTTTTGTCATGTATACCTCACAACTTTAGAAAATTATCCATGGATGGCATTCCCTAACTCTGTTGGCCAATCCAGCTCTTTACCAAAGTAAAATGTAAGAAATGAAGGGAAAAAATGGAAAAAAGGAAAGGCTCTCCTTTCTAAGTGCTTTGCATGACTTGGAGTTTCTGCTGTGCTCGATTAACAACATGAAAAAGGTGAGCAGCACAGAGCAAAGTTCACAGCATACATACCCTGTCCAGTCACAGAGCACTAATTTAGCTGTATTTTCTACATCAGGAACACCTCCCTTTTTCAGCATGCCCCTCTTCTGAGCAAGTAAAGATAAAAACTCCTCAGGGTTCCTGAAATCTGGCATATTGTAGCGCATCATTACCTAGGGCAAAAGAAAATGGCCTATTCAGAGAGACCCACCTTTCTCTTAGTTTCAGGAATAAAAGAGCAAATCAAATTGCATTACAATGAGGACAAATGAGAGTGTGAAGAGCTGTTTTTCTCTTGCACGTGGGAGTAAACCATTACAAAACAAAATGCCTTCTTCACCAACAAACTCCTTTGCATTCACCCAGACTAGTGGGTGTACAGAGACAGAGCACTGGTTGTGAAAACAGTCACTGAACGGGAATTAGGCTTAGGTTAATTTGAGTGAAATCAGAGTTGGATCTGAGGTCCTCACTGTAATAGGATACAGAAGGAATATCATCATTTTTCACTCTGTGATACTGTGATGAGATCTTAAAAGCAGGGTTGTTTAAAAATCAGAAACACTACTGGGATAACACTCTGGCTGTCAGGATCACAGCATGCTGTTCTGCCTTCTCTTGGTAAGGATGAAGGATCACACTTAGCACTGCTACTCTGCATGGTTAGAAGAAAGCAGTGCAGAAACTACCAGAATTAGCTGAAGTGAAAGGAACTTTCATTATTGGGCCTAAGAAACCTACAGAGAAGTGAAATGCAGTGAGAGATGTGGAAAAAGATGGAGCTCACCTGCTGCTTACTGCAGTTATTTATAATGGCATTTACTGCTTCAAGCACATCTGCTGAGCCTGCTTCTTCAGTGTCTATGATACTTCTCAAGGCCAGAGCCAGGGCACTGTTGGAAGGATCTGCAATTATACTTGGACTGTCCAACATCTTTGTCTGCTTATCAATGTGCACAATTTGCATGGACCTGTTCAGAGAGAAATGCACCGTGAGTGGATAATCAGTGAAGGAGTGGTGATGGGGAGGGATGTAAGACACAAAGCTCAGTGTTGGATTGAATGGACTTCATGCAGACTCAGCTTCAGTGTTTTGTCATCATGTGCTTTGTGTAGGACAGAAATCTAAACCTACAAAAAGTAAGTTTATACAGTGTATCCTCTGGTGAGAGCTTCCATCACACAGATCAACATCTTTCATCTTGCAAATTGAAGTGTGCATTTAAAGCTGCACACAAGTGCATATTTTGCACCCAATGGATGGAAGCTGTACACAAACAAAACTCAAGGTAAGTGGAACACAGCAAACAGGGAAAGGAACAGCTTTTATCAGACTCAACTTACTTGGTAACACCTCTTGCTGTGCTAACACTGCAAGCACGTGCTCCTTTGAGACTGTTGATTATGCTGCTCTTTCCCACATTAGGGAAACCTGAAGGAAATCACATAAATCCTTGTAAGTTAAATAACACTGATCAAAACTCTGTCTTCCAAGTGTCTTTGCTAAGGTGCATCATCAGTGTGAGATCAGAGTTGGATCTGAAGTCTTCACTACAGAAGTAAGACAAAGTGTGTATCCTCATTTCTCACACTGACGCAATGACTAGAAAGCCCCTTAGCAAACTCTGTGTTAGCAGTTTCACCCAGTTTGTAACACAGGACCCCAAAGTTTTACGGGAGGAGAAGGAAACTCCTCCTGTCTGTCCAAAACCACTCACCTACTACCCCAACCTGAATGGCTTTGTTTTGAGTCCTGCCGTGCTCTTGAAGTAGTTTCAAAAGGCATTTGGTTCCAAAACGCTCAGAGGGCTTTGATAAATCAACACGTGCACGTCTTTTTGTGACCTGTTCCTGCTACAGGATTCAAAGGCAAAAACCCCCCATGGTCAGAAGCTATTTAGGAAGATAAAATATGTATATTCTGTTTATTTATCTAGATTTATCAATCTACTGTAATTTCAGTGGCAAGAACTCCCCCCACACACTGTACTGCAAAGCTCAGCTGAAGTGTAAAGGCATATCCATCAGTCACAGCAGTGTAATCAAACAAGGGGAAAAGGAATTTTAAAGAAAGAGTTCCTGTTCCTCAACATACTTTAACATGCATGATTGCAAACACACAACTCACTCATGAGACAGCCTGCAGTGCTCTTACCATATTCTTGTCCTTCATCAACGTTGCTGATTTAAAAGCAACTGTTGGAAACTCCTTCTTCAAATAATTCAACCATTTCTCTAAGTTGTCCTTTGGCACTAAATCTGGAAAAAAGAGGAGTTCTTTCACTCCTGTGGATCTTAAATATCACTGTGTGTGGGAAACCTGATGTGGAATTAGAAATCAGGCCACATTTTGTCCATTTAGGATGTTCCTTTACGACAAATAATGTTTGGCTTAAAATGCTACTGAAGTACCAGGTACGTTCCCCAAAGGCACCCAGTGTCTCCTCTTCCTGCCTTAAGCAGAACACATCCCAATTACATTTTTGGCCCCTGTATTAGGTTTTTAAGGCTGGGGTCTTGCTAGAAGACTGTGTATAATACTGAGTGATGCTCTGTGAACAATTATCCCACTATCCCTGCAAGGGCTACTCTAATACAAAGTTCCCTTTGCTCTTGCTATTTTATTTTCTGGTTTTTTAGCTGTTGGTAAGTCAATAATTTCCAGCTTTTTTAGTAAGCTCAGAGTTGGAACAAGTGTCTTCAATGGAATCTCAGATTCCTTTAAAATCTTCTTCATAGCTCACCTACCACAGAACCACACAGTGACCAAGTAACACTTGGAGAAAACCTGTGTTTCTTACCAATTTTGTTCAGAACCAACAGCAGCTTTTTGTTTCCTCCAGAGCAAATGACAGCTTGCTCCAGCTGAGGACACCGGCAGCCCATCGGATCTCTCGCATCTAAAACCTCCAGAACCACATCTGAGGCCTCAAGCACCTGGGTTAGAAACAAGACAAGACTCTCAAATAAGGCATCACACACCAAATGACAACAAAAGTTACTGCGTTGTAAACGCTCTCTGTTGTAAAATCCCGTAAGTGTTGATGTTTATCACAGACAACCTTTATACTCTCCAGCAGCTGCACAGGAATGCCAAAGAAAGGAAAATAACAAGTGGTCTCATTGCTGACTCTCATCAAATTATATAAAGATAGCTGAAGCACTTCACCTTGTTGAGCTCCCTGCAGAATGATTTCTTTGAATTTTTATTCACAGGTTTTTTAGTCTTTCCTTTAGATTTGCCAGAGGATTCCTGAAGGCAAATAAAAACAAAAGCGAATTATTTAAATAAGAATTAAATACTTGGGTGCATACACAGTGTGAAAATGTAACATGTAACACCCTGCTTGGGAAGGTGCACTTTCAGGATGACTTTTATAAGCTTCACAGAATCAAAGTCATACAGGACACCTACCTTTCCCTCTGCTTTTTCCTTGATTTTGGCTGCCTTCTTTTTAGCTTCCAGCTTCCTCTTCTTTTCATGTTCTTTCTGTCTGTTGAGCTTCTGCTTTTGTTTCAGTTCTTCAAGCTGATTGCAAACAAAATCCAAGCCAGATAAAACATTTTTGAAGGTGGTAAGGAAGACTGTTCTTTCTCCCCATTTCCCTGTGTCTGACCCAAGCTCCTGAGACAGGTCAATTAGAAGTCCTGGCTGTCCAAGTGACACTGGGACACGGTTTTTTTGCATCCTACCCTGAAAAGAGTACTGTTGCCTTCAACTACCTCAAAACCAGAGGCAACCAGCCATTAGCCTGACCCCAAAATAATAATTGTGCAGCAACCACTACAACTGTGCTGCTCCCATGCCACATTACTCCACACTGCAGACAGCAGATCCTTATTTTCTGTATAATCACACTGTGCCAAGATTTAATTTTTAGCACATCCATGCATCTTACCACTGCAAGCAATTTGGAGCACATTAAAAATGACTCTTCCAGCATGTTAATATGTACAGTGGGAAAAAGAAGGTTAAAAATAAAAGAGCCAACTGCTGCACACTGTACAATCCTGGAAATAAAGATATTATTTTTCCAAAGTATGTGTCTACTAGGACCACCTACTGTCTACCACAACTGCACCTCTGGTGCACACACAAAGCTTCCTTGAAGGCAGGAATGGTCTCAGTTCTTGTCCTCTTTACCACAAGCTGTATTTTACCCTCTGCTTTCTTTGCTCTGCCTCCCGTAGAAGCTCTTCCTTGAACGGTGCAGTGCTGGGAACTCCAGGATCTTTCTTGGGCTTTTTGTGCCCACGTTTCTTGGCCTCCTTCCTGACCTTTCGGCGGTGTTCTCTGATCTGGAGACAGGAACAAGAACACTTGCTCAGTCTAAGGCCCCCCCCAAAAACTTAAAGAGTAAAAACCAGCGCATTTCTGACCTGCCCGAGGTGGTTTGACTGCATAATGTGTCATCTTAAAGCTACACTTCAATGCACCAGCGAAAAACAATGTAAAACATAAAGATATAAAAAACCTACACTGGAAAACAAATTCCTCACTGAAGCCCAGACTCTTCAACATGCAATATAATACCCTTACTGTGTACATGTACGCGCGCAACATATTTCTAAAATAACACCAAAAAAAAGCTTTCAATGTTCTATAGTAACATATAAAAATGCTTTTAGCGTTAAACTAGTTAACATGGAGTTTTAATTTGCAGCAGACCCCCCTCCGTTCCACTATCCCGCACCGTCGGGACTCACCTTCTTCTGGATCTTGTAGCGCTTGTGGCAGCTCAACCTCTTGCTCGCCTTCCTCAGCTCTGCAACGCACCGGGATCGCCGTGTACCGGGATCGCCGTGTACCGGGATCGCCGTGTACCGGGATCGCCGTGTACCGGGATCGCCGTGTACCGGGATCGCCGGGTACCGGGATCGCCGGGTACCGGGATCGCCGGGTACCGGGATCGCCGGGTACCGACACACACACCCCGCCCGCCCGGGGACACGGCCGAGCTCCGGTGCCCGCATCCCCCGCCATTCCCTCCAGCCCCATGTTCGATTCCACCGTCCCGGTGTCCGATTCCCCTCTCCCGGTGCCCCATACCCCCGCCGTTCCCTCCGGCTCTGCTGTCCCATTCCCCCGCCCTGGGCCCCTGTCGCTCGCTCGGCCGGGGGCAGCCCCGCGGTGCCGCGCCGCCTCCCTCCACCGCCCCCCCCGGCCCTGGGGCGCCGTCTGGCCCTGTTCCCGGTGCCCGGTGCCGATTCCCGGTGCCCATTCCCGCCCCTCACTCGGTCTCCTCATGGCGCCGCCACGTGCTCCCGCCTCCCGGGCGCTGCCGTAAAGCGCGCCGGCGCTGGCCCGCCGGGGGGGGTTGTGTGTCGCGCGGGCCGTGGCGCGCTTTGCGGCAGCGGCGGCAGTGTCGGTGCGGGCGGTACCGGCGGGACGGGCCGGGCCGGGCGGACCCCGCGCACCCACCGGGGCTGCCCGCGGCGGCGGCGGCACGCGGAGCGGAGCCGGCGGGGTGAGCGGCGCGGGGGGGAAGGCGCGGGCCGGAGCCTGGAGGCCGCTGCCTCCCTTTGTGTGGCGGCGGCGGCGGTGGCGGCGCCGCCCGAGCGCGCAGCGGCCCCGCCGCACCGGGCCCGGGGCGCCGAGCGCCGCCCGTTCCCTGTCACCCACTCGCCGGCGCTGGGCCGCGCCGCTGTGCCGGCCGTGTGCCCGCCGTGTTCCCGTCGTGTTCCCGTGTCCGGGCCGGGCCCGCGCGCTGTCCCCGGGCCCGGGGTCCCGGCGCCGGGCGCGGGTCCCGCCCGGTGCTGTGGCAGCGCGGGTCGGGGCGGCACCGCCGTCCCGTGGGCCCGGTGCCAGCCCAGGTGTTTTCTTTGTCTGCCGCTCCTCCCGGCAGGCGGTCGGGGCGCTCCGCGGGAATTGTGTGTCTGGCTCTTTGTTATCCCGGTTCGTTGTCGATGGGTGTGCGGCGACTCGCGCCTTCCCCGGCTCGGTCCTGTTACAGGGTCTGGTTCCTGCCGTCCCCCCCGTCCCGTCCCGTTGCATGTTTCAATGGGATCGGTAACCGGGGGAATTTGGACGCGTTTGCCGCCCTTGTTCCCTTGGCGAAATTTCCCGTGTTCAGTGTTTCTGTTGAAACGTGGGAGACTCCGATAAGGATACCCCCAGTATCTATGGGCTTCTAGCTCTTCTCTACACGGAGGCAGAAAATGAAACGTGTGCTAGAACGCACCAGCTTGTTTTAAGCGTGTTGTGTCAGATGTGCGTAAAACTTGTCCGTGTGGTGAGGTGAGAGAGGGTAACGCTTGTGGTGCTCAGTCTGGTGCAGCTTTGGGAGAGACAGCCCTCCACCTGTTGTGTGTGTAGCGGTGTACTTGTGAGTTAGTGGTGGCCAAAGCATTTCTCGTGGAGCTGTCTGTGCCTTTGTGACATTTTTACGGGTGGTGGGAGCGATTCCCGAGAAGATGCTCAAGCTCCTGTTGCACTGGAGGTGGAGATTCTTGGTGTGACTGTTGAGACTTGTGAGCCAACTCAGAAGTTGGCTTCACAGCTAGACTGCAGAAGAGAGTCTAGGAGACGTGTTCTTAAGCAAAACAATATATTTCTGTGCTTGTGATCGTGGAGATCTCGAGGGAAGTTTGCATTTAGGAGCCTCACGTTCCGTAGGAGTTTTGCTTAAGCAGATCCCTCACTGAGTATTCACATTGTTGTCCAGACTGATGTGTGTTTTGCATGGTTTTTAGAGGAGAAAAACGTGTTTTGGAGGCTGTGCACAGTGTGCTCAGGGTGTCTGGATCACACAGGTGGTCACCAGTGTCAGTGTATGGCTGAGAGAGAGCGTATAGCATTCATGCCTTGGGTCGTGGATGTGGAGAAGCTGCTGTGCACTTTGGAGGCAGATGCTGGTTGGAAGGTCCCCAAATCTTTATTTCAGCGTGGAATTGGACTGAGTGTACTGTTGGGTTCCTAGTTGAACCAGATGTGGTCCCTCCTGCCTTTATTCCACAGTAAGACTGGTGTTTCCTATCAGCCTGCCCACCAGCTTGCCTGGTGTTGGCCATTCCAAACTGTAGCCCTTTGACAGAAGTTGGAGGCAGTGCCAAAGCAAGAGGCTGATTGTTCCCAAGATGAATTGCCTGCTAATAAAGCACAGAGTTTCTCTGCATGTCTGTGTTATGAAAATGTCCGGAGTGCTGAACAGGAAAAGAGTCTCTCTGGGGTTTGATTGAAGGCAGTGGTTGGATAAACTCCATAGAAGCAAATATTTTGCCATAAAATGGTTCTGTGTGTTTCACATGGAATTTATGGGGGAAAACCAATAAGGCTTCGAGACTGCTTAGGAATTGAAAGAGAATATCTTTAGTGAGCTGGATACTTGATATTGCTTAGTTCTGAGGACAAAAAGCCACTCTGAAGAGTGATGGAGATGCATCATCACTGTGGAGTTTATGAAATGTTTCTTGACCTTAAGATGACGTTGTTATTGTTATAAGCACTGCAGTACTTTGCATTCTGTAACTTTTACTGCTTTCTGGTTTTTACTCTCAGGTCAGATATCACTTATGTTTACTCTCTGCTCTGCTTGATGAATCATTCTCCAGCAAGTGTCTGTGAAATCTGTAATATGTATTCAGGAACATTAGAGAAATGTATTTTTGTGTGAAAATGACAGAAGTGTCTGGCATTCTGTGTACAAAATTACTTTGTAGAGTTTCTGCTGGGCTAAAAAAAGTTACCTTCTGTTTCTTGCTTTTTTTCTCTGTCGCTGTAATTATCCAAGTTATTCTTTATCTATCTACTCTCAATTTTCTTCTCTCTCTCTTTCCTTCTTCTTGTCTTCCAGTTCTGGCTGTACTAACACCATTACTGGTCTGCTACTCTTAGAGTGTCACCTTCTCCCAGTATCTGTGCTTGGCCATCAGACACTATGAGGAGACTGGCTTTTCGAGGTGCTGGTTCTACTCTGGTAAATCTGGTAAATTATTGATTGTGTCTCCATTCCTCTGCCTTAGCCTTTTGTTTTTCTTTTTGCTGTTAAGTTATTCCTGCCTTTTTCATCTCATTTGTGTGCTTGGACTTGACTCTGACATAAATGCTTTAATGCGGTTACGTTGTGCTGCCATACCCTGTAAATCAGCTGAGTAACAGCAGCTTCCTAGAGGAAAATTCCTTGATTTGGTTGGAAAATGGGTATGGGCTGGGTTAGATGCATCTGTTC